CAAATAACGAGACCAACAAAGAGAGAGCATCTCCAACAAGCATCCGTAGTGGGTTGTGGGTTCTCACCATTCGTTTTTTTTTTTTTTTTTTTTTTTTTTCAATAACAGGTCGCAGCTTATATTATAAAAGTAATTGAATGAGGCCGGGAATCCCTCAACATCTCCTCACCATTCGTTTTCGGTTTCCTTTCTGCATGATTTTTTTTTTCTTTTTTCAATTGAGAATTGAAATGGGAAATTGCTTTTTCTTTTCTTTCTTTTTCTCCTTTCTTTTCCTTTTTTTTTTAATCTTTTGTATCTTTTTCCCCCCCCGCATTTTGTTTAAGAGCTTACTGAAATTTCCCCCCCCCTCCTCCCCCCACCTTCTTTTCTCTAATAATAAGAACAAATCAGCACGAAGCTTTTTTTTATCCAGCAAGCTGGTCTGCTCGGATGATGTGATTTTTTTTAATTTTTTTTTGGATGATTCCCAAAACAGTTGGAAAATAATAATAATAATAATAATAATAATAAATGATGTGCTGATACGGGGTGGGGGGGAGGTCTTGTGCTCTTACCAGCATTTGCTCCGCCATTGAGCCGAGTGAATTCTCATTGGACAGTCCAACGCCGATCCTGCCAATGGGCGTGTCGATGACGTGGCCATACTTATTTGTCTGATCGGAGTGTGAAGCGCCGTTGAAGAAAAAAGACTCCACGCTAGAAGGATTCTCCTTGCGCACCTGAAAAAAAAAAAAAAAAAAGAAGGACGAGAAAAGGCGCGGCGGGCGGGACAGAGCAACACAGGGATTGCCACTTGGTTGTCAAATCATCAAAATTTTCATATTGATGATTACGAGTGATGATGACGATGATGATGCTAATGATGATGAGGTCATGATGATGATGATGTCATGGTCATGATGATGATTCTGAGATGATGATGATGATGATGAGGTCAGGATGATGTCATGATGATGATGATCATAATCATTATATCATTATCATCATCATATCATCATCATCATAGAGGATCACGTTGATGATGATGATGATGACGACCCTCATCATATCATCATCATCATCATCATAGAGGGTCACGTTGATGATGATGATGATGATGATGATGATGATGATGATGATGATGATGGGGAGAGACTTTCAGGTTGGTAATGGTGATGAAGATGAGACGTTCAGGTCGACGATACCGATGATGAGCAGGAGAAAAGCTCGGGTCGATGCTGCTGATGATGATCAATGACGATGCCTGGCTGTGCGACCTCTGGTCCTCAGCCAGGCTTGGATCATTTCATTCAGTTTGCTCGTCACGTCCTTCCTGTCTTCCTTCCTTCCTTCCTCCCGTCAATCATTTTTATTCATTCCTTCAGCCATTTTCACTCGCTAATTCATTCAGTGTCATTTTCACTCGCTGATTCATTCGGTCGTTTTCGCTCGTTGATTCATTCATTCATTCATTCGTTCATGGACACATTAGCTTTCTTCGTTATGCATGCAGTCGTTTCTTTTGCTCGTCTGCCAGTATCTGTGTGTGTGTGTGTGTGTGTGTGTGTGTGTGTGTGTGTGTGTGTGTGTGTGTGTG